GGCCGGCGGGCCGCCGGAGTCCGGCCGTCCATCCGATTGATACCATGAAATCAAGAACCCATATAATTCAATAATTGAAAAAGAACAATACAAAACCCTAACTAAATTTCTTTGATCTATTTATAAAAATTTAACCCGTGAACAATAGCCGAATCTCAAAAATAATTAATTTCAGTTTAACAAATTAAACTAAACAATAACTCGGCGATGAACAGTAATGCCGATGGTGAACAGTAATGCCGATGTTGAATAATGCCCTTTTTTTATGAAAATAGTTTGTGAATAGTAACATAACCCTAATTTTGATTTTAATCAAAATTTTAATTTAATCTAATTAAATAATTCAAAAATAAAGATCAAATTAAGATAATTTAATCTGATTAAATTATTACAGATTGGATTCTAAAACCCCTCTTATACCATCTGTAGGAAACATAACATACAAAGTAGTGGAAATTGCATATCATGTAGATTAATCAAAATTAATTTAAAATATTAAAGAATACCTGAAACGATTTCCGAATTCTTCGATTATCTATTCCAAGATCAGTACGAAATAGCTTCCTAAAGAAAAAAAAGCCTCCAACTAAAATCCACCTATCACCGAAGAGGAGCAATACTAAGAGATAGGTTCTCAAAATCTATTTCCTTTTGTTTTTTGTTTCTTTTTCTTCTTTTTCTCCATAAGGCTACATATGAATCCTATATATAGAATTGGACCTGCCTTATAGATTTCAACTTTAAAATAATTCTTAATTGTTTAAAACTCTATCCATAACATTTAAAGATAGGATATTTTTTCCATAACAAGTAGGATAGAAATAGGATTGTATTGTATGTAAACATCTTCTAATGATATTAGTGAGACCAATTGGGTCTCATATCAAGAACCAATTATTAATCAAATTAATAATTTTAATTTAACAATCAAATACCTTTTCAACCAACTATTCATAAAAGCTCTTCCATAATATGAGATTAAATATTAGTGAATAATATTATCTTACATTCGGTCCCCTCTAGCATCAATTTATTTTAGACAACTTTATTGAACAGGACAAATCACCTATTTGCTTATTACTAAAGTTGCAATCCAATGAACATAAATATAAATCATTTTAAATATTAAAATATTTTATTTTATAAGAAAATAAATTTAGAAGAATAATTTTTAAAAATCACCCATCGACGGGAATTTAATATCTTCATGGGATATGCATTATAAATAAACTTATAAAAAATAAGTATACTTGATCCTATCAAGATATGAATCATTTTCCTAAACGAAATCTAGTAACCCAACATTTCAGGTTGTATAGCACTTTAAAATAAGCTTAACCATCATATCAAAATATACTAAATTATCAAATAGAAAATGATAATATATCATCAAGTCTAAGGGACCACGTAACAATTTGAATTCTCTATCTCTTAGGTGACTCATCCTAGAGAATCAATATAAGGTCTTATGCTACACATATCAAATTCTCTATCTCTATCTCTTATGACATACACCCGGCGAATCTTCATTCCCGATAGCTGAGATCAACCATCACATCTCATATGTTATTGTCATGCATAATAACATGTTATAACAAAGTTATTCTTTGCTAGTTATAGGTTAAGCACAAATTTAAGAAACATCTAAATTAGATCATATCTCCAAGCAAGTGACCATTACACTGCATGATCTAACAAAATAATTTCTGATTATATAAAAGATACCCAAATAACATGTGCAATAATAAAACTTAATTAATATTCAATAAAAACCTATTTGATGTTTAAGGGCATATAACACTATTCCAGCAGTTCATAGTATGTTAAGTAGTGCATTAACATGAACTTTTGATTTATAAAAAGTAAGGCTGGATGTTTCAGTGTATAAAGGCATGTGGGTTCAAAAGTAAACAAGGGTAAAAGAGGGAGATAAAATAAAACCCCTTAGTGCAAATATGATTCTTTTTAATTTAAGAGGACTGATGAGAAAAATGACCCATATAAACCATCGAATTGGGAAGATTACACAAACTTGATCACTGATTTTTACTACGAGTAGTGGAAAATGACGCATAAGTTGAACTGCTAATCTAACTTTCAGGAAATGTATGACCATATTGTGAACGTGGCTTTGTGGAGGGGCCACGTGAGTGTGATCACGTCAATGAAGAGCCAGCGGACAAAGAGCCAGCGGACAAAAAGCCAGCGGACAAAACCCTCAAGCCCACGCGGAATTACCAAGGCCCACCCGAATATACATCATATATATGATTGTGTTTTTTAGGTTTTAAATAGAAAGGGCTGCGGATTGTTTTGCGGCTGCAGGAGATTCGCGCAAGGGAGGTTTGGCTGCGGGAACAGGTGTGCAGGCGTAGAGAAAATGAGATTTGTGCAGGAGAGAGAAAGTCGGCTAGTTTCTTTCTCTTTGGCAGCGGCTGTGCAAGGCTTTTGTGCATCATTTTGTAGAGAGATATTGTGAGGGATTTGAGAATTTGTTTGAGGGTTTAGGTTGTGAGTGATTGTAAACCCTAGTTGTAATCTCTCCCTCTAATAGTAGATCTCCCCCTCCTTGCCCCGTGGACGTAGGCTATTTGCCGAACCACGTAAAAGTTGTGTTTTTGCCGTGATTTGTAATAGCTTGTAGGATCCCTCGACGCGTAGTCCTAGAGCTGACGAGATGAAGAGCTGATATCTCACTTTGATGAGATATCTGGCTTTTGGTTCTTGTTTCCTTTGAGAAACAAGAATTCCGTTGTGATCTAATCTCTTGTTGTGCACCTTACGCACCGAAGGTGCTGCCGAAATTTCCGCTGCGCACAACGAGTGGTATCAGAGCTTTGGGTTGGATTTGGGGCTTGTTCGAAGGATTCGCTGAAGGATTCCTATTTGAAAAATTAGATCGACAACATGGGAGAAACAAGCACATCGGGATTGTCTCTTTCGAAGGCGATACAGAGTCTGAGCATCAATAATACAAAGATTGATGTTCCGAAGTTCGACGGCAAGATCAATTTTGGTTTGTGGAGGTGTCAAGTGATGGACGCCTTGGATGCACAAAATTTGGAGGAAACTCTTGAGTTACAAGAGAAACCTGCTGATATGGAGGACAAGGTTTGGAAGAAGATGAATAGTAGGGCTTGTGGAGTTATTCGGTCATGCTTGACGTCGGATCTTATTTATGACGTAATGAACGAGACGTCGGCGAAGAGAATGTGGGAAACACTCAATGAGAAGTATCTGATGAAGAGTATTGAGAATCGGCTTCACTTGAAGAAGAGGTTTTACCAATTCAAGATGAAGAGGGGAGTTTCCATTCGGGAGTATGTTAACAACTTCACGAAGCTAATTTTGGATATGGCCAATGTAGATATCATGGTTGAGGATGAAGACAAGGCGATGCTACTATTGTGTTCGTTGCTGGAGGATGATTTTGGTACGTTTGTTCTCACTATGATAAATGGAAGAACTACGGTTAGCTATAAGGAGGTGACCTCGGCTTTGGTGAATTATGAGTTGAGGAAGAGTGATGGCGAATCCTCCGAGAAGGCATCAGGAGATGCATTAGCAGTTCGAGGCCGTGATCCAAACCGCCGCCAGTTCAATCGCTCAAAATCGAGGAATAGAGGTGGCCATAAGAGTGTTGGTAGGAATCAATGTCGCTTTTGCAAAGAAGAAGGACATTGGAAAAACGACTGCCCAAAGTTGAAAGATAAAGCTGGGAAGAATAAAGGGAAAACTGTACAAGCTTCGGAAGTGAATGTTGTCAAGGCTAGTGATGACAATTCGGATACGGATTCTTCGGGCTATTCTTGCTCTGCATTACCGTCAGTTTGTTACGCTGACTCTACGGAGTGGATGATGGATTCTGGTAGTTTGTTACGCTGACTCTACGGAGTGGATGATGGATTCTGGTGCTACATACTATATTTGTCCTAGGAGGGATTGGTTCTCCAGCTTTGAGGAGTTGGAAAGAGGTGATGTCGTGCTCATGGGTAATGATCACGTATGCCCTATTGGTGGTATTGGTACAGTACGGATCCGAATGTGTGACGGGGTGACTCGGGAGCTGAAGGAAGTGAGATTCGTTCCTCAATTGACGAAGAATATCATTTCGCTTGAAACTTTGGAGGCAGCTGGCTATTAGATGATCTTGGAGAATGCGACTCTGAAGGTCACAAAGGGGTCCATAGTGGTGATGCGAGGTGTCGGGAAAAACAACCTTTACTACTTGAAGGGCAAAACAGTGACAGGGGGTCTGGCAGCTTTATTTACCACAGAGAAAGATACTACCAGCTTATGGCACATGAGATTGGGACACACTGGTGATAAGTTCCTATAGGTATTGGCGAAGCAGGGGCTATTGAAGGGTGCAAAGACCTGCAAGATGGAGCTGTGTGAACATTGCATACTTGGGAAGAAGACAAGAGTGAAATTCGGCACCGCTATTCACAATACCCAAGGTATATTGGACTACATTCACACAGATGTTTAGGGCCCTTCCAAGCACACATCACTTGGTGGGGCCAACTATTTTGTCACTTTCATTGATGACTATTCCAGGAGGAATTGGGTATACCCGATGAAGCA